TATCCCATTTAACAATAAAACTCTCTCCTAAGTAGGTCACAGTTTTTCTCAGAAATATTTTTTTTAAGAAAGGTCCTAGATATTGGCAAACATACACATGAGTATTACTCAGCCATAAAAAATAATGAAATATTGTCATTTGCAGCAACATGGGTGGACCTAGAGATTATCATACTAAGTGAAGTAAGTCAGACAAAGACAAATATTACATGACATCACATATACATGATATCTTAAAAAATAATATGGGTAAGATTATTTACAAAATAGAAGTAGACTCACAGACATAAAGAACAAATTAATGGTTACCAAAGAAAGTGGGGGGAGGAGGGATAAATTAGGAGTATAGGATTAACAGATATGCACTACTATACATAAAATAGATAAACAAGGATTCACTGCATAGCAGGGGGAACTATATTCAGTATCTTATAATAATGTATAATAGAGAAGGACATGAAAATGAAGATGTATATATTCTTTTGAAGATATGGATGGATAAGATAAATATATATCTGAATCATTTTTCTATATATCTGAAACTAACACAATATTACAAATCAACTATGCTGTTGTTATCTAGTCTTTAAGTCATGTCTGTCTCTTTTGGGACCCCATGGACTGTAGCCTATCAGGCTCCTCTGTCCATGGGATTCCCCAGGCAAGAATACCAGAGTGGGTTTCCATTTCCTTCTCCAGGGGATCTTTCCAATCCAGGGATCAAATCCACAGCTCCTGCACTGTAAGCTATTTCTTTACCACTGAGACACTAGGGAAGCATAAACTTTGATTAAAAAAATTTTTTTTAAAGAAACAGAGGTTCTGAAAGAAAACAGTTGAATAGGGAAAGATATAATACAAAAACAAAAATAGCTCTAAGAGTAAGGAAAATAATATGTTACTTCCCCTTCCCCTCAAGATTAATGAATTCTCTCCTTCAGTTCATATATTCTTTCTCCAAGCACCCTCACCTAAAAAAAAAATAAAAATAAAAAAGACTGCTTATTACTTAAAACTTCAGGATGTCAAGAATTTCCCAGATATTCAATCTGGATTTAGAAAAGGCAGAGGAACCAGAGATCAAATTGTCAACATCCACTGGATCATAGAGAAAAAAGAATTCCAGAAAAACATCTACTTCTGCTTCACTGACTACACTAAAGCTTTGACAGTGTGGATCACAACCAACTGTGGAAAATTCTTAAAGAGATGGGAATACCAGACCACCTTACCTGCCTCCTGAGAAATCTGGATGCAGGTCAAGAAGCAACAGTTAGAACCAGACATGGAAAAACAGACTGGTTCCAAACTGAGAAAGGAGTACGTCAAGGCTGTATATTGTCACCCTACTTATTTAACTTATATGCAGAGTACATCATGCAAAATGCCAGGCTGGAGGAAGCACAAGCTGGAATCAATATTGTTGGGAGAAATATCAATAAACTCAGATATGCAGATGACACTACCCTTATGGTAGAAAGGGAAAAGGAACTAAAAAGCCTCTTGATGAAAATGAAAGAGGAGAGTGAAAAAGTTGGCTTAAAACTCAACATTCAAAAAACTAAGATCATGGTATCTGGTTCCATCACTTCACGGCAAGTAAATGGGGAAAAACTAGACGAAGACTTTATTTTCTTGGGCTCCAAAATCATTGCAGATGGTGACTAAAGCCATGAAATTAAAAGACGCTTGGTCCTTGGAAGAAAAGCTCTGACCAACCCAGACAGCATATTAAAAAGCAGTATATTACTTTGCCAACAAAGGTCCGTCTAGTCAAAGCTATGGTTTTTCCAGTAGTCATTTAAGGATAAAAGACCATAAAGAGGACCAAAAAGAGGGCTGAGCACCAAAGAATTGATGCTTTTGAAGTGTGGTGTTGGAGAAGACTCTGGAGAGTCCCTTGGACTGCAAGGAGATCAAACCAGTCAATCCTAAAGGAAATCAACCCCGAATATTCATTGGAAGGACTGATGCCGAAGCTGAAGCTCCAGTACTTTGGCCACCTGATAAGAAGAAATGACTCATTGGAAAAGACCCTGATGCTGGGAAAGACTGAAGGCATGATTAGAAGGGGATGACAGAAGACGAAATGGTTGGATGGCATCACTGACTCAATGGACGTGGGTTTGGGTAAACTCTGGGAGTTGGTGATGGACAGGGAAGCCTGGAGTGCTGCAGTTCATGGGGTTGCAAAAATGCAGACACGACTGAGTGACTGAACTGAGCTGATTACTTAAAAAATAACCTTATTAATATGACAAACCAAATCCTGCAGCAAATGTTCTGACTACCTTACCAGAGCCACATTTTCTTGAGAAACACTAACATTATTATCTTAGTGAAAGAAAAAATGGGTGAAAAAAAAATTTTTAGTTCCTCCATCACAATGATACCATATTTCACATGCTACACCTTTATGTTCTGCTTCTTACATCTTGAAATCCCTACATGTCCATGAAGAAAGACTAACACCTTTTAGGAGTTTGCATACCTAATATCTCTTCTAGGAATTAGTTCTCAATTCTCCATCCACTGTTTTCTCCAGTACAGTAGATTAAATGTTTGTGCTTCCCCAAATTTATATGGTAAATCTTAACAGCTAACTGAAGGTGGGGCCTTCGAAAGTGATTAAATCGGGAAGCAGAGCTCGCTTGAGTGGCTTCAATCTCCCTAAGAGAGACCCAGGAAAGCTTCCTCTTCCTTTCTGCCATCTAAGGACATAGCAGAAAGATGGCTGTCCATGAACTAGGAAGCAGACCCTCACCCTACAAGAAATTACAGTTATCTTGAGCTTGGATTTCCCAGCCTCCAGAACTATGAGGAATAAATTTCTATTCTTTGTAAGCCACCTAGTCTATGGTATTTTGCTACAGGTGTCTGAACAGGCTAGGACATTCAGTGAGAAAAGAACCATTCATTTGTGAATTTTCAATCACAGTGCTTGTATTATTTTACTGCAATAATAAATTTATTGCTATATTTCCAACTAGATTATAAACTGTTGAGGTTAAGTGTGTCTTATTCATTTTTCTATCCTTGGAGTTTCACACAATAGCTGGCATAAAGTTGTCATTCCATAATTGGAGAATGAGCTATATAAAAAGAAATACAATGAAATTGTACTAATAAGCAAATACATTTTCAACTTTAAAAAATATATTTTTTATATTCTGTAAAACTAAAAACACTTTCAAGGTCCTCTAGCTCTACTGTTTTGTGTTACACATAAGAAATTTGAGGCCAAGAGAATTTACATGATTTGCTAATGGACCACCTAAGTTGGGGAACTATTGCCATTAACTTTTATATTACACTTTCTTACCATTTGTCATTACATTTGGAAAATCATTAAAATGCTGTGGGAATGAAAATCCTTTGTTGCCATTTTTAGGAATAAGTATTTTCTCATTAAAAATTATTTTTGATAGCTTACCAAGAGCAGGTACTAAACTACTTCCTAAGAAGTAAATGAGAAAGTGTGCCTGAGCTTAGGGAAGTTGTCATTATTGTAACTGAATGAAAATTCGACTCTGATTTATATACTTATATTCTCTTTCAGGCACTAAAATATAACAAAACAAGGCAACTTGGCTGTTTCTTCTCATGACATCTTCAAATTGACATTATCATGCTTACATGTAATAAATGACATAGGATTTTAACATGACATATTATAGAGAAAGGAAGGAAAGAAAGAGGGAAGGATGAGGGAGATGGGAAGAAGTAGGAAAAGGAAGAGAGAGAGTTCTTTTCTCCAAGACTTGAAACAAAGACCTGGCACAGAAATTTTAATTTGGGGTGTTTTATTTTGGCTTAACCTATTAATTTTGTATTATATCATTGTCTATTTCCTTATCTATTATTCCTTTTTCTTGCAGAGATAATGGATGATTATGCTGCTANTTTGGCGTGTTTTATTTTGGCTTAACCTATTAATTTTGTATTATATCATTGTCTATTTCCTTATCTATTATTCCTTTTTCTTGCAGAGATAATGGATGATTATGCTGCTATCAATCCTATTAAAATTTGTGTACTTTTACCCTATTTAAAATTTTAGAGTAAACATAATTTCTTACTCTTATTGATGCTCATTGCTCTGTTGAAATGACTCATTTACATGCATATTTACTCAAATGATTTTCTTGCCTGAGATTTGGGGCACAATTAAGTCATATTAGCTTATATCAACAGATATTTCTGAAATAATAATTACAGAATACATTGATAAGGAACTTAAGTACTATTTATGCCACTTAATCATTCCAGAGAGATGTCATTGGTTTCCATAACTTGCAAAACATAGAGGAAAAGGGATATAAAAATAATAGAATGGACTTAAGGGAAGATCACTTTATGTACACAGTTAAAATGAAAATTATTTAAAGATCTATGGCTTCTGAAACAACTACTTTAAAGAGCATTAAAAGGCCATATTTATTGCATTTCAGTGAGAAACAGGAGAATGATTAAAATGAGAAATTTTAAACCAAATTCTCTCAAAATTACATTTATTGTGTATATAATGGACCCTTTCTTTAATACATGTTATGCACAAAATTAGCCCTTATGGAAATATTGAAGGCCTGTGAACCAATATCGGCTCGATGGGCATGAGTCTGAGGAAGCGCAGGGAGATGGTGATGGACAAGGAGGCCTGGCCTGCTGCGATTCATGGGGTCGCAAAGAGCCGGACACAACCGAGCGACTGAACTGAACTGAACTGAACCATTATCATTCTTTCTAAGGGTATTCAAAATAGGTTATAAGTTCTTTGGTTATAAAATATAGCTAAGAAACATACAATGTAATGTAATAGAAAGAGATGCAACTATTGGTAATGAGAAATGGCACGCTGTTACTGTTCTGGGTCATTCTCAAGTTCCCTCTTTCAAAACCGAAAGAACTGCATTTTGGGTGGGAGGACACGAATGTATGAAACAATAACATTGCTGAATAATGGACTTCATTCCAGAAGCCGGTTACCATGGTAACAAGCACCGGAGGCAGTTTGTTGTTCTGCTCTTTTGTCCATGAAACTACTTAAGATAAAATATGACGTCAAAATCAAGAAACTAAGAAGATTATTTCCTAGAGTCAGAATTATATATCACAGGTAATAATGGCATTTTTTACCTCGTACTTTAAAAATGGTGTAAAAACACTACACTGACTCTCCGTGATCTTGGAGAAACAGCTTAAACCTTAGCAACTCATCTGCTCCATTTCTAAATGGGCACCAACTTTCTATGGGCAGGATCCAGGCCAAAAAAACCTGCACAAAGAGCATGATGCTCTCTATTCAAAAGTGGTCAAGGAGCATGGAAAATAAAGTATATCCCAGAGGGTGAAGCAAAGAGGTGTGGAGAGTAATGGACTGATGAGCCAGTCCCAAGCAGCCTAACGGTCTCATTCAGTAACAGCCTTTGGGTCCTGAGTAGGAAGACCTCACAGCATGGAGCCCTGCCGGATTTCAGAATTACTAGGGACAAGTGTCTGCTATATGGTTTTCATTCTCCCCTTTTCGAGTGAATATATCTCTTGTGAGTATACTGCCCCAAACTAACTCATGCATGGGGTGTATGTCATATTGATGAAGTTGTTCATAAAAGTCTCTGGATTAGGAAAAACATATTCTGACTTAAAATACACCATAAAATATTAGACTCAGTCTAATGCTATGACAGGATGAGATTTTGTGGGTCCTTTGAAGGGAATGAGTGCATTTTGCATTTAGGAGGCACATAATTTTGAATAGTGTATAGACTATGGTAGACTGATGATGGCATTATCATCATTAATTAATGTCATCTCTAAATCCATGCCATTTTTTCTATTCTCTTTCTTTTATGACCCTGAGATCAGCCTAAGACTTTCTTTGGCCAATGAGATGTTAGCAAATGTACTGTAATTAGAGAACTGAAAAGTACATGTGTTATTTCCATCTGCTATTGTACACAGTAGTGCTTGTCTCTTGATGTCTGCAATCGCCACTAAGTACAAGTAAGCCTGACAGAGGAAGACCCCAAAACATGCGAGAGAATATTGCCAAGATTAGTTAACCTCAGTCCAGGTCAGCAGAAATAGTAACTACCATGTAAATTTGTGAGGAATAAAAATAGTGGTTGTTTTAAGCCACTAAGCCTTGGGACACTTTGTTAAATAGCCATAACCAACTGATATATCCTCACAGGTGTGATCTAGGACTAAGGGTCCAAATTCTATGGTTGACTGGAATTACTTATTAGGCTTTAGCCAGTTTCCACAAAGCTTTGTCAATCAATTCCTTTTCTAGGAAACTACCCTTTAGGGAAATTGCTGATGGGAGTAGGAAATGGCAATTCACTACAGTATTCTTGCCTGGAGAATCCCATGGACAGAGGAACCTGGTGGGCTACAGTCCATGTGGTTGTAAAGAGTCGGACATAACTGAGCAACTGAGCACATATTAACTTTAACCTCTTGGTCCACTACCCTTTTCACAAAATGTGTCCTCTAAGCAAAATACCACATTCTGTTATCAGTCTCCTAAGAGCAATGACTTTGAAATGAAGTCAGCAAAGGAAAAACTAGAGATTTGTCAGCAGTGCCTGATAACTGTCCTTAGTGTGCAGATTATTACTCCTGAAAAATATGGGTAAGACCATTTTTAGACAGTTTAAAAAACATACACTGTCTAGTAAGAAAGTATTAATAAGTCTGCCATCCAAAGCAGCAGCATGAAGGTAAAGAAAGTCTTCTGAGGACTTTAAGATTTCTCCCAAGTATCCTCCAATAATCTACATTATTCTGGAAGAAAGCATCCAAATAATTTTTTCCAAAACCTTGAGATCTAAGTCCATTGCTGGCAATCACTTCCATTTGCCAGTGCTACTGCATGGAATATAGATCAAGGTTGCCAGGAAGTTTCAGGAGCAGAGTAGTGTGTTAGCAGATGCTCAAAGTAGTCTCTCTCTCCCCCTTATTGGCAGATCAGAGAGAGATGAACAAAGAAAGTCACTGCCCATGGAAACTGCAGCAAACAATTTGGAATGACCTTAGCAGAAATTCTGGAGAAAATCTAGTGCAAGACAATGGGTGCCTATTTCCAGCCTCCAATGAACTCAGTGTTCCCCTCTTACTAAGTAAGGACCTTCTCCTTGGAATGTATCTATAGGTTGTTTTCCATACCAAGTGAAGTTATCTCAATAGGGACCAGTGATTTTCCTATTACCATCATATTAATCGACCTTCATATTCCTGATGTGGTTGAAATACATTCATATACTCATATCAGAATGAAAAAAGTCAGTATGGTACTTACATGGCATAATGTTTGGACCTGGAAATAAATTATCATATAAAACAAGACAGAAGTAATGGATCTGTCTCTAATGGCTTTCCATCCCCTAAGGGGTCACCAGAAGTGCTTTTGACTGTAGTAGTGTCTTTAGTCTTCATCTACTCCTGAACACAGAGTGAAGCCAGATATCCGTAATGACAGAGGTGAGGCCAAGGTTGTGCCATGACATATACCATTATTTCTTAGTCACTAATCACACTAGAGGATGGGATGGTACTTCTCTAACCATGTAACTTAAAATCCTATGGACAAACTGTAAGAGTACCTTTTGCCAAGTCTGATTTCCAGCACTGAATTCTTGGCACTGACCTAGAATGCAATGAGCATTCACACACCTGCTACTGATATTCCTGTCTCCATGAAATTTCATTGACAAATGCTGTTCTGGCATATTTAATGTGTGTGTGTGTGTGCTCTCTCACCATTTCCCCTCATTTGTATGAGAGTTAGCAAGGCAAGATGTATATCCTGTCAGGTAACCACCATGGCTTTCTTGAAGTGGATTGAGAGTCCAGAGGACAATGGCCAACCTTCAAGGAGGGAAAATCCATTGGTACAAATCAGCCCATCTTTCAGACATGTGCTCACTGGATGCTCCCAAGAACCAGCCCCATTTATTCTCCAAAAAGAGGAGACTCACAACAAAAAGATCACCTTGATAACTATTGAGGGAAATCCTACTGAAAAACTTGTACATACAAACTGTTTCTGTGTGCACGTGTGTGTGCACATACACACACACACGCCAGCATAGACCATGTTCATCCAATGATGACTAAAGGATGCATACACTCAAACTGCTTTGTACCTAACATACTAACTACAAGTTAAGGACAAGATGTGATCCTCAAAATTATATAACTACACTATAAGATTAGGATACTACAGTGATGACTCAGAAGACAATTTCTATGGTTTCACTATCTCACCATCTCTGCATTACCCAAAATTATCCCAAGATCCAAATGCTAAAGGAAAGGCAATGTCTCTCCAATGACAGACTGTCCTGCACATGAGTATAGAAGGGTAACTTTTCTTATCACCTTTATATACATCATTCAGTGAACCAACGAAAGGCCCTTCAATGCCCAAGAAATTCAACAACAGACAGGGATTACATGAGAATGATCATTTTTCCTTGTCTCTTACAACTTGCATGACCAGGAAATAGACCAATCCAAGCCAGTCATTTTCTTTCAATCTCTCAATAACTCTTTCTCCCTCTCTCATCACTCCTCTCCCTCCCTCTTTCTTCCTCTCTCTCCTCCTCCTCACACCTTTCAATTTTCTCTTCATGAATGTGCTATGTTCAAAACTGATTGAAGGTGTGTGGGCAGTTCTTGGCCTTCTATTTCTTAGGTTTCTTTGAATATCTGGTAATTTTTGACTGCCTATTTTTATGGGAGTGAGTGGGTCAGTAAAAAATAGGTCAGAGTTCCTGTGTCCATGGATGAAATGTATTGATTGTGAGCTTTCTTGAAATATTCTGATTCACTGGGGAACCCCCATCTAAGTACTGAGTACTGTTAAGTCTTTATTTCTCGAGATGATGAGATACTCACATGCAAAATTATTTTATTTTTTCTATTTATATGATATAAGCTTTGCTTCCAGTTTTCCAGAAATCAAGTGAGCAAGGACATAGGGTCTCCATATTCACTATGTAAATTTTCACAGTGTCACCACTTTCAATATGTAACCTGTACTTCCCATTTTGCTCTCCACTCTTCAGTCTAGAGATTTTGTTTATTCTCTTCAGATAAATCTCCAAACTAAATCATCAGAACTCTGCCAGGATAGGAAGTGGCAGTCACTCAAGTTTCAGAGTAGTGAGAGATATGGGTCCAAATGCTTTGTAAATAGACTTTAAACAATCCTTCTGTTATTAGCTCTACCTTCATCTGTGCTTTACAGAGGTCCTGAAATCTACCAGTTCCTGGGCCTTTGGGCATTCTATGAGGCTCAGAATTTGACTTCACTGACTGCCAGGTTAGGATTCAACTTCCTTGGACATGCAAAATCAATGACACCCATCATCTTCTATGTGAGCTTCCAAACTTTTAGTGTTATTCTCTCTTATACTTTCTTTGTCACTGACAAAATATGCATCTTAAAAATCCTTTCCTCTCATTTGAGTAGGGTTTCAATAGGAAAAAGGCATTGATGTGTCTGTTCAAACCACCGTCTTAAACCAAAAATCTCAACTTGGCTTTTCTTAGAAAAATGTCCCACCACATTGGCAAAGATCCTCAGGGTCTTAAGCTTAGAGAAATTATGTGGTTTCAGTCATAATACATTTCCCACAGCGCCAGGTTGGGATATCAAGAAATATTATCGTTTCAAAGATGCTCCTATAAATCTTCCATAGGAGCACTATTCATTGGATCTATCTGTTAATCTGTAATGTTTCTCAGAAGTCTTAGTAAATGCAGAGTCTGCAGATCTTTTTTATACCAGAAAGAGTTAGCACAGAGGGGGAAAGCTTCAATTACAGGAACAGTGATTAAATCCTATGCCACACAACATCACTATCTTGAAAACTGAAATTATGAGATACCAGCTGTTGGCTCTAACTTTCTCACAAATGCAAAAGTATACATTAACATCACTGCAGTATAAAATGCTACAAGATATAGAACAGTACTGTCAGTGAATATATATGCACACCTTTTGAATATTTTTCATTCAGTGTAAATAATCACTTCCTGGGAAATACACTGACATGTTTCTCAAGTAACTTTATGTTTTGGTCAATATGAATGCCTTAAAGTTATACGTGTTTGATAAATTTTATATATATTTTAGTAGGATTTCTTACCACAGGAATGAAATGCAAAACTGGGTTCTAGCTGTTTGATCTTTAAAGTCCTATTCAATTTCATCACATAGGAGTTATTTCAACAACAATGACAAAACACTTTCAACTCTTTTTTTGTGGCAATAAACCAGCCAACATCTACTACAGTTTTCTAAAATTTCCTTTAAAATTGATTCCTCTGATTTCATGAAAACAGCAAATCACACTTTTCCAACGCCCAGTCCACAGGGGTTAGACTTTCAAATTATAAGTTTTTTCAGCTGCCAATAGCATTAAGTCAGCAAGAAGCCAAGCAATAAAGGTCAGGTATTAGGACCTACACTGTACCTACTATTTATGAACACAGTAAATAATAAAAGATAAATAAAATTGGCTAAACACAACTTTCCCACAATTTGAAGAAACTAAATGCAGTTGCTTTAACACAAAATCTTTACAAAATGAAAACATCATCAGATGAAGGATAATGTAATTCTTCAGCTATAGGAACTAATAAAGACATCACTCCAGTAGGAGTCTATTTATTATCTTTAATAATTACAACAGATGGTAAATGTGATTCCATTTAAGTTATAGGTAAATTAAATATTAGCAATTTTGTATCATCTATAAATATTTTGATATTCTGATAAAGTATTATGACATATTAACTTAAAAGGCTTTTCAAAAGTAACATTATCAATCTTGCTGACTCTACTTCTGATCTAGGTATCATCACGTGTTTTATGTTGATCTGTTCTTTCCTTTGGGTCTTCGTTAGAGTTTTAATGTTGACCTTTACTAATATTATCTTGAATGTACATATTTGGTATTCTGAATTAAAGACAGATCATTATTATTCATTTAAAAAGTAAATAATGACTGTGTTTTTCCCCAAACCCCAATTATTACTCCTAGAGCAATGAAAATGAAGTCAAATATTCTACACATACAAATTTCAAAGTTTATATTACAGGTGAAGAATGGAGAAAATTGGATTTCATCTGCTTATCTACAGGAGAAAGAAGTGGCTACCTCCTCCTCCCTTCTTGAAGCAGTAAGAAAAACCTTTGCTCTTTGTATACTAGATGAAAAGGATCCCAAGATCTCAATCTAAACTATTGGGGTATCAATACATACCTCCAAGGATCAATCAGATAAACCCAATGTCTCTGGTTTTTCTGGCCTAGAGATGTCTCCAAAGTCCTGAGCCTCATCTTACTTTGAAAAGTAAGCATATACTTCTTGAGGTAGGAAAGCCAGTCTATAGTTCTCATACTATCTCTAAACTTGTAAATCAATTCCCCAAGTCTTGATCTTAGATCAGCATCCCAAAATATCAGTAAAATGTAACCAAAATGCCCCAACTCTACAGACACACAAAACTGTTTCCTCTGTATTCCACACTCTTGCTAGCTTCAACTATTGGCACTATGAATTTTCTTTGAAGAATACCTCTAGCATTTCTAAAATAAGTGATAAATAAGCAGATATAACCTTTAGAAAATCCAGACATTATGCTTGATATATTTATTCCATATCACTAACAAAAAGTCACTTTTAAATTTATAAGTCACCTTGTTTTGTTTTATATTACAGGAGTTCCAGACTTCAGAAAGAAATTTGGAAAATAATGAATAATGTTACTTAAGAGACCTTTTTAAACTTCCATCAAAAAGTTTCCCTCACTAACTTCTAGTAAGCTAATTTCTACCTTTTACATGAATTTGACAATAACACTCCTTTTCTTCCTTTTTTCCTTGTTACAGTTAAATTATTTCTGAATGTGTCATAACTATGACACATTCAGAACAACTGACATTCTCTCTTTAATTAAGATTTGAAGTATTATTCCTGCCCTTTGTAGCAATTCATTCCATTATCTTTTTCAAATTTCTATGTGTCTAAAAATTATATTTCCTAAGCTTCATAAAACCAAATTTGCATTTAAATACAATTCACTTTACAGAAAAAGACAAGCCTTTAAAAGTATGGTTTAGCTTTAAATGTAAAGATTCAGGACTATGTCAACCACATAAAATGGAATATTTATTTAAATGCAATACATTTCTGCAAAATGCTACCCATATGCTAATTGAGAATGATTAACCCTGATTCATGATTTATCAAACTAAGCCAGATTAGCTTTTGAGCAGTCCCAACAATATAGAAAAAAAATTAAAATCATACAGTTTATCAGAAAAGATTATATTTCACAGAAGACAGAAAAGATGCTGAATTATACAATCTATATAAAACAATACATTTTGGGCTATTATTTATGCAATATTATTTAATATTTATCTATCATAATTCTAATTTTGTCTTAAGACACACTATTTGAAAATAATTAAGTGCATTCGCAAATTTAATTGGTCTGATTATAATTTCTTATATAAATAAACCTATTAAAGATAATAACCTTTCTATAATCTAGACTCAGAATCATAGGCATGAACCCAAATAAGTTTTACATGTCACATACTGATTATATCAATTTAATCATAACAGAAAACAACATTTGGGAACAAACAGCAATGTAAGTCAACATAGCAAAGCTAGAATAAAACAAAATCATAAAATAAATATAAAAATTTGCTATTTCCTACCAAACCAATATTTCCCTGACCTTTAGTCTTATAAAATCAAAATCTTCATTTACAAAGACATATAAAAACATGCATTTTTATAAATGAAGACATATATGCATCTTGAGTACATAAAAAGGAAACATAGCTAGGGTCTCTCAAGAAACAGACGTATTTTATGAGTACAACCCTTTGTCTATATCTCTAGTCTCAGAGGAACTTTGATGATTTAAAAATAATTCTAATAGCTTTCTTTTCTGACACAAGTATTCATCACTCTCTGGTGACTGGTCTTGAGTCACTTTTTATCTCTGTCTCAACTATTCTTTCTGCCTACCAACTGCTGGTTTAGGTAAAATGTTTGCCAATTTTTTTCTTATCATTTACCAAAAATTCTTCCAAGTCTTTATAGGATCTTTTTCCCAATTTATTTTAATCCAAAAATGTATCAATGATCTGTTGATATAAAGCTAACAACATTATCAACAAATGTAGATTCTCAAGCATTAGCAGCCATCCTTAAGACTGGAATCTTTCAGGGACTCTTAATTCCTAGTTCTCTGGTAGCTGCAACAAGCAGTTTATTTTGGTTTTATTTCTATTTTTCCACCCCAAAATTTATATTTATTCTTTAAGGATTGTAAAATTTCTTGTTCATAAGGCTGCATTTCACATGTTACATGAGGGAAAAGTAATTTTTGAAAACATTACTTCCCATAGAAATTCATAAGAGGTATGAGCTGATCACTATCTAGAAATTATAAAATTTTATAATTTTCCCAATTAAACTTGCCTGTGGTGATGTTATACTAATAATTAGCAGCAATTGAACCCATCAATGTCTTGGCTACTCAAGTTTAGATAAACTGTATGTACTTTTAAATATCTGGACATTGGCAATTTCCAGTCACTATTGGCTTTACTTTGTATATTCTGACAGCACCAGCATATCCACACACAGTCCATCTACGCTCAGTGTCCTTAAAACCTTAAAACCTGTCCCTGCTGCTGATTTTCTAGAACTCTAATATCAATAAAAGCTGTTGTATTGGCACTGTAAATTTGTTCATATTTTTATTAGGTATTATCTAAGCAAGTGTAGTAATACAATCTGCAGCTTTATGATCAGCAGCAACTTTTAAGCAATAAATTTTCAGGTAATTTATACCGTGAAGCAACTGCAGCTTTTGCAGCCAGTATTCTGAACATTCGCACTCACATTCAGCCTTCATGGTATATTCAAGTTTGCTTTGTGATCCATACACCGTTCAGCAGTTCAGATCCACCCTGTAGTTGCTAGGTCTACTCATTCAACACACAATTGGAATCTTGTTTTTGTTTTTATTTTGTTTTGATTTTTCCACAGGATCAACTTTTTTCTCTTTTTCTATTAGTTTTCATTTATCATCACCAGTGAGAAACATTATCAATCATCTTTCTATTTCCTTAAATTGTTGTTGTTCAGTTGCTAGGTCATGTCCAACTCTTTGAGACCCCATGGACTGCAGCACAACAGGCATCCCTATCCTTCACTATCTCCTGGAGTTTGCTGAAACTCATGTCCATTGAGTTGGTGATGCTATCTAACCATCTCATCCTCTGTAACCACCTTCTCTTCCTGTCTTCAATCTTTCCCAGCATCAGGGTCATTTCCAATGAGTCGGCTCTTCACATCAGGTGGCCAAAATACCGGAGTTTCAGCTTCAGCATCAGTCCCTCCAATGAATATTCAGGACTGATTTCCTTTAGGATGGACTGGTTTGATCTCCTTGTAGTCTAAGGGACTCTCGAGTCTTCTCCAGCACCACAATTCAAAAGCATCAATTGTTCTCTGCTCAGCCCTCTTTATGGTCCAGTTCTCACATCTGTACATGACTACTGGACAAACCATAGCTTCAACTACATGGACCTTTGTTGGCAGAGTGATGTCTCTGCTTTTTAATATGCTGTCAGGGGGCTTCCCTTGTAGCTCAGCTGGTAAAGCATCTGCCTACAATGCAGGAGACCCGGGTTCAATCCCTGGGTCGGGAAGATCCTCTGGAGAAGGAAATGGCAACCCACTCTAGTACTCTTGCCTGGAAAATCTCATGGACGGAGGAGCCCGGTAGGCTACAGTTCATGGAGTCCCAAAGAGTTGGACACAACTGAGCAACTTCAATTCTTCTTCTAGGATTGTCATAGCTTTTCTTCCAAGCATCTTTTAATTTCAAGGCTGCAGTCACAATCTGCAGTGATTTTGGAGCCCAAGAAAATAAAGTCTATCACTGTTTCCATTTTTCCCCATCTATTTGCATGAAGTAATGGGACTGGATGTCATGATCTTAGTCTTTTGAATGCTTAGTTTTAAGCCTGCTTTTTAACTTTCCTCTTTCACCCTCATCAGCAGGGTTTTTAGTTCCTCTTCACTTTCTGCCATTAGAGTGTTATTGTTGATATTTCTCCTGGCAATCTTTATTCCAGCTTGTGAGTCATTCACTCTGGCATTCCGCATGAGGTAATCTGCATATAAGTTAAATAAGCAAGGTGACAATAGACAGCCTTGATGTACTCCTTTCCCAGTTTTGAACCATTCTGTCATTCCAGTTCTAACTGTAGCATCCTGTCTTGCATACAGGTTTCTCAAACAGGAGGTCATATTTCCCATATAGTATTCTTTAGTTAGACACTTCAGTTATACATTCCATTTGTAAAAGTCTTCCAAAAGCCTTAAAATGAGGCTTTGAAACATGGGCAGTAATTCTATTTTATTCATTATTAACTATAGCAAATGTTTACTCTTTTTCACTGCAACATGGTGGGGAAGGGGCACAGTTCAAAGAGGACAGAATACTTGCTTGCTTGTTTACATTTTCCCATTGCAATGGAACTAAGGCAACAGAGAAAACAGGGGCAGTGGGGTGGGGCGAGTAACAAAGTATCTGTGAAGAGGAAATGAAAGTAATCTACCTGTACATTCCAGTCCAATTACCTTACCCACTCAATTGCAATACCAAATGTATGAGGAAAAAAACTACTACTGAGCTTTTCAGAACTGTGGAATTGTCTTTATTTACTTATGAGATAGGCTTTATAATTATCTTATTTTACAGAAGAAGAAACCCATATAGAAAAATTAAGTCAATTCCCATTGTCATACATACAGTGTAGGAGCAGAAACAGGCTTCTAACTCACACAGTCTAATTCCACAGGCCTTATTCTTAACCTCTGCACTAGACTGACATCCCTCTAACCATTTCAACTTGTTTCCTCTTGTTTCTTTATCAATGGTCCTTAAGAGGCTCATTTGTGGCCCAAGAAATTGACATTATTACTTTCTACTATATCCGTAACATGATTTTGCATGTATTCACATTCACATTTTGACTGATTTCTGACTATTTATAATTTAGCCCAAAGAATGGTTAGTATGGACTTCATTTTCACTTAGGTACATAGATATCTAAGTTCAATTCCCAAAGTTTTGCATGCGTGAAAGTATAAACATGTTAGTTAAAATCTGAAAAGTAAACAAGTAGAAAACATATTCATACAAAGCAGTCCCATAATTAAAGCTGAGAGCGGGAAAATAAGAAGGTTCAGTTCAGTTCGGTCGTTCACCTGTGAACGACTCTGCAACCCCATGGACTGCAGCATGCCAGGGTTATCTACTGCAAATTCTAAAAATCAGAAGGTAAAAGTAATATGCATGGGCTATACAGTATAGGCATGTAATTTAGGCTACTTTTATATAGCTGACAAGAACCTTCTGCACCATTCCATTTCTTTCTACCCATAATCCTAACAAATATACAAACAAATCTACATTCAGAAAACATAAAATACACTATGCATACTTAGACCCAGTAACTCTCATTGATTTGAAATACAATGCTTAAGTATTTAGACTCTCTAAACACTTGGACTTGTAAGTCTTGTTTAAGAGTTTATCTTACTGATGGAAGCATTCTGTTTAAACTTCATACTCATGTATTTTACATATGTATTTTAGATTGCTTTCAAATACCATCAGTGAAAGTTTTCTGCTAGTGCAGAATGACAGCATATATATTGGTATGGAAAAGCAAATTATGATGGAAAGTGCACTGAAACAGGATTGGGTTCTCACATTTTTATCCCTAATATTCCCAGCAATGGGCTCTGTGACCATTCTCCCTGAGTGACTTAGATAATAATTTGTTGTTGTTGTTTAGTCGCTCAGTCGTATCTGACTCTTTGCCACCCCATGTACTGCAGCATGGCAGGCTTCCCTGTCCTTCACTACAAACTCCTAGAGTTTGCTCAAACTCATGTCCATTGAGTCAGTGATGACATCCAACCATTATCTCCTGTCATCCCCTTCTCCTTCCCTCAACCTTTCCCAGCATTGGGGTCTTTTCTAATGAGTTGGCTCTTCACATCAGGTGGCCAAAGTGTTGGAGCTCCAGCATCAGTTCTTCCAATGAGTATTCAGGATTGATGTTCTTTAGGATTAATTGGTTTGATCTCCTTGCAGTCCAAGGGACTCTCAAGAGTCTTCTCCAACACCACGATTCAAAAGCATCAATTTTTCAGTGCTTGGCCTTCTTTATGGTCCAGCTCTCACATCCATACACAACTATGGGAAAAATCATAGCTTTGACCATATGGACCTTTGTTGGTAATGTAATGTCTCTGCTTTTGAATCCNTAGCAGCCATTACTACTGTTAGATGTATTTATTATTTCTAATTATTGTACAAAACCTATGGAATTGAAAGTATCACTAGTTCATGCAAGAAGAAACTAATCTCAGATAAGCAACAGCCCAAAGTCAAACAACCTGTTAGAGGTTGATATTTGAGTCCCAGCTTATTGAGTCAAACCTTCCATTAGTTTTAGAAACAGACATATTTTTTTTGTTGATTACCTAATCACTTTTCTTTGGTGTCCTCTCCACTCCCTTCTCATTCTCTTATTTCACCAGAATGTCTAATACATGTAAACAATATAATATAGGAAAAATTATATGGACTTTAGACCTACCTGAGTTCAATTCCAGCTCTGCTTGCTACAAATCCACATACACACAATCTTCCATTCGTATTACTGTATTATCAGATACACTCATTTATACAGTCACAACACACATTATTTACTCATACAAATTTTGATTTACATACTAACACACATTTTCCCTGTTCACACAAAATACCCCTTCACCACAAGTACACACACACACACACACACACTTTTAAATTTAGGAGGCAGGCCCAGTGATCTCCAAACTGCCTTTTAAGTAATTTCCCCCTTGTCTTGAAGAATAGCACACATTCACAACTGTATAGCTCTATGGTCCAAGGCTGTAGTATCTAAGAAGCCTAGCAGTCTTCCTTCATTTCATACTGTCTCCATCTTCTTCAAACCAGCATTTCTGCTCGTATAATCCCATAATCTATTTCTCAAGTGATAGGCCCTTTGTGTTTTCTTCTAGACATACTTTGTAATTTATTTTTTGCAATATGAACAGATTTAACATTTTCCAAAATATTTAATTCTGGTTCCTTTTTGCTTAAAATTTTCTTCTTCAACTCATTTCTTTCTTCTTGCACTTTCATTTAAGCAGTTAGGAGGACCCAAGCCATTCCTTTAATGCTTTGCTTAGAAAGCTCCTCAGCTAAATGTCCAACTTCGATGCTCACAAATTCTACCTTCCACAAAACACTAGAACATGGACACAACTTATCCAAGTTCTTTGTCAATTTGTAAGGTAACATTTCTAAGACATTCCTCCTTTCTGAGATCTTACCAGAATCATCCTTAATGTTCATTTCTAGCATGAACCTCAAAACTAATCACCCAGTTCCAAAGTCACTCCCATGTATTTATGTATTTTTTTACAGCACCACCCACACTTCTCGGTACTAAACTCTGTCTTCGTCTGCTTAGTCTGCTATAGCAAAACAGCATAGGCAGGAAGGTTTCAACAAGAGGGATTTATTTCTCGTGTTTCTGGAGGCTGGGAAGTCCAAGATCAAGGTGCTGGCCAATTCACCTTCCCTGTGACAGCTCTCTATCTGGTTTGCTGACTGCCTTTTCCCTGTGTCCTCACATGGCAAAGAAAGCTTTCTGAGACCTTTATCTTTTATAAAGGCACTAACCCCATCCTGATGGCCCCACCCTTATGACCTCACCTAAATCTAAGTGTTTCCCAAGGCCTCTTTTCAAATACCATCATTTTAGGGGTTAGAACTTCAACATATGAATTTTGGGGGACATAATGCATTCCATAGTAATGTCCATCCAGTCTGTTTTAAAACTTTACTTCATTAGCAATATATATTTCCATTTGATTTTACACAATACAGAGGTATTCATTTCTAGAAAGTCAATTATATTCCTCAACCATTTCAATCCCACAACCCACAGATAACTAAAATTAATACGCTGAGGTGTTTTTTAACTCCATGGTTTTCTGTTTTTACAAACATAAAATTATGTATACATTATGTGAACTTTTTAAAAATGAAATATTTATGTGTTTTTGTAAAACAGGCCCATTTTCTGTACATGTATTCTTACCTTATTCTTTTTTAATAGATGAATTGTAATCTTAGTGTGGGTGTAGTAAAATTGTTCAATCTTTCTCCATTTAATAGAATGTCAAACTGTCATCTCAATATATTGCTACTGAAAGTCCTTATACACAATAAAAATTAAATGCATGTGTTTACATTAGCATTTTAAACATGTGAATATGCCTTATTCTTGTACTTTAAGGTACTTACTCTTTTTCCCAATGATCAAGAAACATATATCTAAGAAATATAGGCTTAGTAACAGAACTGTTCAAACAAGAATGCATGGAGAGAAAATTCATATTCAGTTTCTAATTTCCAATATAAAACTTTTGAATCTTCATCACAACAGACTTGAAACACATTTAATTCCACTATATCCTCTCTTTATAGAGACAGAGGGTTTTATTATAGTGCATTATCATATCCTCAAAGTCTAAAGATGGAGAATATGGAATACAGAGATTGAAAACCTAAAGCTCTCCTCTTATGTCTCTTCTTTATTATAGAAGGAAGAAGGAAAAGAGAAGAAGAATGAGGTCAGATTCTAGAGACCCTTCTCATCCTGGAGCTGAACTTTCAGGCATGTGAGCAGGCAGGGACATTTATCCTCTAATTTACAGATAGGTATGCTACAATCCAAAATATTGGGTCTAACGGCACACTTGACTGGATTTAGTAGGGGAATCATGCAAACTTAGAGAAAAGTCCCAAGGGTGGCCATTCCCCACCAAGCTGCTGGCGCAACAGCCATAACAGAATAAGTAAAATGGAAACACTGTACCTAATTCTCAGTGGTTATATAGAACAAGACACTTGGAAATGACCAAGTGGATCAGTAAAGAGTCTCAAAATGATGGAGTCCTGTGAATTCTCAGAAGCCTGGAGTTAGGATAAAGAAGCCACTCTTGAGATGGGAATCAATGCCTGAAGCACTGAACCACCCAAATGCCCTGAATTGGGTGAATAGATAAACTGTGGTTCACCTTTTAGCTCCTAAAGTTCTAACACTCTTCTCTGAATCACATCTCCTACAGCATCACCACGTTGCTAATGCAATCTACGCTTACTCACTCTGCAGTAGCTGAAACACACTCTTCTCTCTGCTACTGTATTTTATTAAAACCGCATCAATAGCAACATTCAATGAATAAGCAAGAATCACTTTCATCCCTCTCTCCAGACCACAAAATATTTTACATGCCTGTGATTGAACTGCTCTGGCTGCCATGTCTTCCCACAGGATACAAATGATAGGCCTGGCACTGACATTTTCCCTGCTTGCCCAGCTGTCTGACAGTGATAACACAGCAGTCTCAGATCTGAACATACAGCCACACAGCCACTCATGGTGCCTGCTTCAAAAAAAGGAAAAAAATCACTTTACATCCCAAAGCTCAATAAAATCAAGGTTCTTTTAATAGCAAAGTGTTTTATTTATTGCTGGTAACCAGTGAACATTGGATTCTCAAAGGATCTTACTTAATGAGACAGTTGACCTTTAGCATCCATACTTATTACACCAACAAAATTAAAGTACATTTTTAAAAGCATTAATTTCCAATTACTAAGACCTCACATATTAAGATAAAATGTCCCCCTTAAAAGCTATTGCCAGATAATCTCAGTATAACCTATCCTCAGCACTGTACTGTCAAAGGTGCTCAAGTTCAATATGGTGATATATTAATTAGAAGCAAATTCTTTAGGTTTCCAAAAGCTGAGCCAAAGATATATTACTTATTTCTCTCCATTGGAAGTTTTGTACTTTCTAATTTCTTCTTTTCTATCTAAATTAAAAATCACTCAGGGGAAAAAAAAAAGCATATTTTAAGGCTTAGCTATTACTGAATCAGTTAAAATACTAAATACGTGGAATGCTGGATTGTATTATATGCCAATGAATAATCAGAAATGGTGTAAACAACTGGCATTTGCTCCTATTAGGGGAAATTTTAATCCCAAACTCCATAAATGTGAGGTTTTTGCTCTTGTTAACTCCTGTTGTCGAAATCAATAATTTCTCTAAAATCAGACTATACATTTAAGAGTGAACAAAGTTTAATGTCTTACAACTCTTTAAATGTCAATATTTGTAAAGAGAATGTTAAAGCCACATAATACATTGTGCCAAGCTGCTGCAGTTGTGTCCGACTCTTTGCAACCCTATGGACTGCAGCCTGCCAGCCTTCTCTGTCCATGGGATTTTTCAGGAAAGAATACTGGAGTGGGATGCCATGCCCTCCTCAGGGGATCTTCCCAAACCAGGGATCGAACCCACATCTCTTAAGTCTCCTGCATTGGCAGGTGGGTTCTTTACCAGCTGAGCTACCAGGGAAACACTCTTTACCGCTAGAACTATTAACAAACACTGATTTTAACCTGGCACAGACCTCTTTTCTATGTTTTTTGTTATTTGTTTCTGGTTGCTAATTGCTGCTTAATAACCAGTGAAAGTCATTCAGTTGTGTCCGACTTTTTGCGACTCCATGGACTATACAGTCCATGAAATTCTTCAGGACAGAATACTGCAGTGGGTATCCTTTCCCTTCTCCAGGAAATCCTCCCAACCCAGGGATCAAACCAAGGTCTCCCACATTGCAGGTGGATTCTTTACCAGCTGAGCCATGAGGGAAACCCAAGAATACTGGAGTGGGTAGCCTATCCCTTTCCCAGCAAATCTTCCTGACCCAGGAACAGAACTGGGGTCTCCTGCATCACAGGCAGATGTGTCCGACTCTTTGAAACCCCACAAACTATACAGTCCATGGAATTCTCCAGGCCAGAATACTGGAGTGGATAGCTGTTCCCTTCTCCAGGGCATCTTCCCAACCCAGGGATTGAATCCAGGTCTCCCTCATTGCAGGCAGATTCTTTACCAGCTGAGCCACCGGAGAATCCCTAAAAGCCAGAGTCTCCTATAAAAGAAGGACTCATAACATCCAAACTACCTTCTCTTGCAGAGTTGCAGAATTTCTCTGAGAGCTTAAGATTGTCCAAAATGAACATCATGCAGGAAAAGACAGCAATGCCTCCTCCATCCACTCCCATGGAAGGGGAAGCATAAGGACCCAGGGACCTGTTACAGGCTCAATGCATGGCTGGACCTGCAAAGCACTCTTCCCCACTCTGCTTGGCTGGCAACCTCCGGGCTCTCTGAAGTGCTATGACTGGGACATCTGGGATGTCATATCTACAGGGTTGTGGGTCAACTCCCTTCTACCTTACCTGAGTCTGAAACTTTCTAGTTGTTTTAAAACATAATTTTACTTAAAAAAAACACACATTTCCCTTCAACTTCATACAATACAGTGGTATATAATTTTTAGGAAGTCAACAGTTTTCCTCAACCCCTCCAATCTCACACTCCTCAGGTAACTAAGTTAGAGAGAGATCTTTTCTTTCTTTCCTTTCCTATTCCTCCCAAAAGCCACTGATACCAGACACTGCCCTAACAATACAATTTGCTCAAACAGTACTATCACATGCTCCAAATAGAGCACACTTTAAATGGGTGAGTTGTAGGCTATATGTGTATTATAATCTCAATAAAGCCATTTTAGATATATACACATGTGTGTGTGCATGCATGAATGCTCAGTCGTGTCTGACTCTTTGTGACCCCGTGGACTATAGCCCACCAGGTTCCTCTGTCCATGGGATTCTCCAGGCAAGAACACTGGAGTGGGTTGCCATGCCCTCCTCCAGGGAATCTTCCCAACTCAGGGATCAAATCCAAGTTTCTTAAGTCTGCTGCATTGGCAGGTAGGTCCTTTACCACTAATGCCACCAAGGAAGTGTACACACGTATACGTATACAAATGCATTCTGGTGTGTATTACGTGTATACATATATATGCCTCTATATTTTTAATTTAGTCACTCAGATGCAGATTTGAGGGATCCAGAATCAGTTTCAATGCCGCCTGAGTATGTTAATTAGGAGAAGAATTTCAAGAGTAAGAAAATGAACCTGGGTCATGAGGGCAAGCTACAGGAATGAAAGGAATTCATTCTCCTAACAAACCAAAGCAGGGCAAGTCATAAAAACCATCTGCTCTCCCAGGCAGCTGCACAGGCCTCCCCTGCTCTGCAAATTGGGGGTAGTGATGCTGACTCTGAGAATTCATTTGTACACTGATGTGAAAGCCTCTGCGTAGATGTAAAGTATCATTATGTTATTACACGTGGCCCACGGGTCTCATCAATATGTACAGTGTCAAATGCAATTTTTCTCTCTTCTGCTGTAGAAAGAAAATTGAAAAAGCAATATGCTGTTGTTATTATTACTGTTAATCCACTAGGGATTTGCCACATTTCATCCTCAAGTCAATTCACATATTTGACTAAGTGTATAACTGATGTTTGCTACTGCATTGTCCTTATATTTTATCCCATGTGACCTGGAACATGGAAGCAACCTAGATGTCCACCAACAGATGAATGGATAAAGAAGCTGTGGTACATATATACAATGGAATACTACTCAGCCATAAAAAGGAACACATTTGAGATTGTTCTAATGAGGTGGACGAACCAAGAACCTATTACCAAAGTGAAGTAACCCAGAAAGAGAAATATAAATATCGTATATTGATGTGTATATATGGAATCTAGAAAGATGGTACTGATGAATTTATTTTCAGGGCAGCAATGGAAAAACAGTCATAGAAAACAGACCTAAGGACATGGGGGGAGCGGTGGAGGGAGAGGGTGAGATGTATGGAGAGAGTAACATGGACATTTATAAGACCATATGCAAAACAGATAGCCAATAGGAATTTGCTATATGGCTCAGGGAACCCAAACAGGGGCTCTGTGACCATCTAAAAGGGTGGGATGGGGAGGGAGCAGGAAGGGAAGTTAGGGAGGGAGGGGACATACATGGGTGCACCTATAGCTGATTCTTGTTGATGTATGACAGAAAACCACAAAATTCTACAAAGCAAATATCCTTCAATTAAAAAAATTAAGTGGCAGAAAAAAGGGAAAAAAGATATAATACATCATATATTCATGAGGGCAAAAAAAAATTATCTCATGTGAAAAACATAGACAGTATTTTGATCTTGCAGTTTTTTATATATATATGTATATATGTATGTATGTATATATATCATGACTTTCTCAGGGAATGTAAGCCATGTTATTTCCTTAGTTTTACACTCATGGGATATTAACCCTTGTCTGCTATTACCTGACAATTACACTTAACAGATTTATGTCAGCTGTTGAAATTATAACTTGCCTCTCCAAGTTCAAGCTCCACTCTTCTCTAATTCACATGTCTCAGGCTTCATCCTATTCCTTTCACCAGCCTGGCCCATTCTCACAGCTTATAGCTAACAATAACACATGCCACGTGACCTCTCACTTTGTAATCAATCTTCCAAGTTCAAGCTTCCTTCATGCTCCTGATTTTTATTTCCAATCATTGTTTTTGGGTGGTTGTAAACTTTTTCTCTTTTTTTGTTCTTTAGACTTGTCAGCTGATCTTAGTTTTCCCAGATTGACTGATGATGTCCTCTAAAATATCTTTATTCTGACAAATTTTTCACTCCTGACTTCTGCTAGTAGTTTTACTCACATAAATTCAGGTATTAAAACATAAACAAAAAATCCTAGAATTATTCTCCATAGACAGAAGCCTTTACAATGAGAGGAAGGAAGGAGAACCCAAACCAAAACTTTATCAAAAGACTTCTTTGTTAATTCTGCAAGTGCAAGTCTACCATATTAAACTGGGCCAGGTTCATTTGACCACAATTAGCATGGTCCTACCACAATACTGGTTCTCCAACTGACTGCAGTTGGGTAAAAGTCTATCAAACAGCATTGCATACTACAAAGAAATAGTTCATGAGTCAACTGATGCAACAAACTGCAATGTTGTCTTCTATTTTTTAAGTGCCACAGCCAACCCAACCTTACGCAACCACCATCCTGATCAGTCAGCAGTCATCAACACTGAGGGAAGACCCTCCAACAGCAAAAATATTACAATTCACTGAAAGTTCAGATGATAGTTAGCAACTACACACTTAACAGAGTACAGTATAGTCTCAGCATAACTTACATATGGGCAAGTGTGGCCAAGATGGCCAAGGAACAAAATTACAACTATTTACAGTGCAACTACTGATGAGAAAAACAGAAAACTAGCAGGAAAGATCTACTGCTAAGAAAAAACCATAACAAGATGGGCAGGAGGAGCAGAATCATGGTACAGTCAAGACTCACACCTCCATGTGAGCAACCCACAAATGCAAAGATAATGAAAATTGGAGAGGTTCTCTCCAAGGAGTGAAGGGCCCAAGTCTTCAATCAAGCTTCTCAGCCTGGAGGTCTTGCTTTTAGAAGACAAGCCCCCAGAATATTTGGCTTCGAAGGCCAGTGGGGCTTATTTTTCAAGAGAGCCAGGGTCTGTGAGAAATAAGAGACTCCACTCTTAAAGGATGTCCACAAAACCTCGCATGCTCTGGGACCTAGGGCAGAAGCAGTAGTTTGTAAGAAGTCTAGATCAGACCTACCTGCTGATCTTGGAGAGCCTCCTGGAGAGTCAGGAGGCAACTGGGATAACCCTGGGGGCACAGAACCTGGTG